GGGGGGGGCATGGCCCCCTGCCCCCCCCCCCCTGGATCCGCCACTGACCGCTGGACGAGCATTCTTGAGCCATGCAAGAACAGAAGAATACTTCCTCGTGATTCCCGATCATCGTGTCCAATCGAGCAAGTTCTTCTTCGATTCCTAGAAGGGGCGAGCTTTGGGAGTCGTGGAGCCTGGAGCCCTGCCCCAGAAGATGCTCAAGTCGGACAAGATACGGGTTTTAGATCAAGCGAGCCATTCCCCCGGCTCGAACAGAAAGGATGCTAGGAGATATTCATCGTATTCACTGGCAAGTGAATGTTGTAAGGTGGCGGGCGCGCGTCCAGGAATGTCTGAATGTCCAGGAATGCGGGCTCGACCCGATTTCGAAGAGATCCGACCCTGAGTACATCGAGCGCATCGTTATAAATAACACTAATTCTTCACAGTTTCGAAACGATATCTAGCCGATGATGTCCGATTCCAGGACACCTAATCATAATCTCACCCTTCCGCGCTCTGATCGCAGAGATGAACAAATCCACCCTCTTGGAGATGCCCATGAACCTGGGTCGATGCGCATTGGAGCGCATCCCCACAACGTCTCAAGAGCGATCTCTTGCGGGGTGTGAGAGGAGATCTCGAGCGGATTCAGATCTTCTCGGACGAACCCCATCAAGAGATCCCTCTCGATCGCTTATTGAGGAACGGCATCCTCAGAGGTGATCGAATATAGATTCACGGATCCCCTGATTTCGGAAAGCACGAATAATAATCGAGACGAATAAGAGCGATCGATACTCCCCTATGCCCCCTCCTAATCATGATCGCATTCGAGTCGTTCCAGTGGTCCGGTGGAGAACGAATGATATCTCCTAGCCGTCCGACCCCAGGAGCGTTCGGAGGACCATCACCTGAGTATCCATCATGTGTTCCCGAAATCGCTGATTGTCAAGGATCGACCTCAGTGACTGTACCTCGATCAGGGGGCTAAGGGAAAAAATCTCATGAACGAGACAAGCCAATCCGAAGATGATTGTTGGAACACTGAATCATGGCCACAGACAATCTGTGTATGCATTGGCAATCCGAGCTCTACGAGCCCAGAGTCAGAGAGGGGCAAATCTCCGCGAAGACGCGGAACGAGAGAATTATCAAAACGATGCCCGACTCGAAAACATTGATGAGGGGAATTAATCCATCAGTGAAGTTCCGCGGATACTTGATTCCCCCGAGTTCGGGTCGGTGGGTCGCCCAAGTCTCCACGCGCTCGGGGCCTGGTCATCGCTCAGAACTCATGACCGACGCTTGGCTTGGAAACGAATCCACGATCTCCATCTGGGTCGCATGAGGACCGGCACAACACCATCGGTCCTGACCCTGAACGCAGCTCAGAGAACCGGTGAAATCGGCTGATACACAGTAGCGATCTCGACAGCGATTTCGGACGACTCAAAGAGCACGTATCGACCCATCCCAATGCCGAAGCTCGCCGGGAACCCCGATTCACAGTTGAAAATCAGGCGCTGATCATGACCGGTCACTTGGCGATGTTTTCACCCGACCCGGGTCCCATGAATCTGTTGCCCCAAATCACAATGTGTTGTCGGAAGTTCAACATTTTCTCTCCTTTGAGACATTCAACGAGCGACTTATTCCTTCGGTTGACTGCGGGATGGGCTCTATCCGGAGAGCATTGACACAAGCGCTTTCCGCTCAGAATCGGCCGCACATGGACAGAGCACGGAATACTCGAATAGTTGGAGCGGGAATCGAAGCATCGGCGGCATCTTGACATGCACGGGGCATGCCCCTCTGGCTTCGATTCATGGTATAATTTGATCTTTTGAAATAATGCACAATCCCTCCGCGTCACCACGGGCTTCAGACACATCCACGACATCCTCATGAAGACATGGCTACATTTGAGACGAACAATTCGCGCATTGAATTCCGAACTCTGGATCCTCATAGCCTCTACCCTTCGCGCCAGCTGAAATCGTCTTCTCGGATTCTCGGGTCCCAATCCTCTCTGATTCCCCATCACTCTAGGGATGATACATCGCATGTGCTTCTCAGACCGCGAGGACTAAACGTCGTCTGACTAGACTCCCACTCGAGATGGAGGAGATCGTCCCAAGATTCCGTTTCGGCTAATCTAGTTCTCCATTCGTGTCATACAAATCTCCGTCTGTTGGGGGCTGAGATCTGATGTGGCGACTCGCTCCGATACCAATACATCACGACGGCATCATCTGGGGAGGGGGGGCTATAGCCCTCTTAGCCCTCCTCCTGCGTACGCCCCTGCCGAAACCTTGGAGTACATAATGCTCAGGAAGCAAACCTCCCAAGTATCCTTTCGTCTCGAATTCTCGAAATCGGAGGGCGATGCGGTATGGGGACTCAGCGGCGACTGCGCGGGCCGCCGTTCACTTTCGAACTGGCGCGTGAATGGGAGACGCAGAGATCCAGCGGATTCCCGTAGCAGATAAACCGAGTTAATCTGCTGGGACCTGGGACTCCGCTGGTCGGTCGAGGGCTGAATTTCGTCAGCGACTCAACCTCGTCTGACAGATCATGCATGAATGTCACGCGAAAGAGTACGGTATGAGAAATATTTTTCGATGATTTGGCGGGTCGTCCGGTGATCCCCGAGTCGCAAGCTCATGCGGTGCAAAGAATGATCGTTACCATCCATCTATTGGGAGTAGAATCCCCAAACGGAGACTCCCGGAGTTGATTTCTCGAGATAGACTGACAGGACGCTCCAGTTTTGTTCCTCGGTCAGCTTCGTGGAGCGCGACGGTCGATTTCCATTCGGCCGTCGTGTCTGCAACCTTCCCGGTCCGTTCAAGCTTGTTCAAGTCAGATTCTCAAGGAGATGACTTCATTTCTGGAGTTCTCGCGCGTGCCCGGTCGCTGTGTATCTCGCGATACTCGCGCACATTTGAAGGTGCATTTTCTATTCATTTCCGGCTTCAGCTGTCGAATTCCAACGGAGCCCAAATTCTCCGTTAAGTATCGGCTTACCTACCCCGGGATCGTCCGCGGTCAGTAATTTGAACAGAGAGCCAGAGGCGACTGACTCTTCGTGAGTGTGGAGTTTCTGCTCTGCATTCCCCCCAGCCCGGACTTTCACCGCTCCTTCTACATCAAGATTCAATATCCGTGGATATAGATCCCCATTGTCTTAAGGGGCAAGAATGAGGAGAATAATTATTAGGATCGAGGTCAAAGATGAGTTCCTTCTTAATTTACAATCGTCTTTATTCGCGATCTCGGCTCTATCCTCCCGGGATCTCGGTCGTACAGAAGGCTGAGAAATCGTCAAAGACGACACTGCGCAGACCCAGCAGCTTACTGAAAATTGGAATGAGAGAACTATTAGTTTGCTGAACTCAAGCCAGGCATAGAAAACTGTCATCGAGATTCTCGATCGAGGCTCTCAGCAAACCACGGCACAGTCTTCACGCGGAACTCTCCGCGGCACAGTCGGCTCCTCAAACCTAATCGAAAACATTGCGTGCTCGTTCAAGTGTTAGCGTGCTTTTCTACTTGTATGCAGAACTCAATCAATCATCTATTCGACGAGGGTCTACATTGTCCACAGCTTCCGATAGCTCAAGGCTCGCAGACCATCCGGTCGACTATTGCAGAAAGCAGTCGAGAGAAATGACTGCCGACTTTAGGCTAACTCCAACTACGTATCGGCGACTGACTGTGCTAAGGTGAGAGGAACACATTAAGGAAAGCTGGGACCTCAGTGCTTCAGATCCAGCGTCATTTCAGAACTCCATCCGGAAATATATCGAAGATTCAAGGCAAAAACGAGGCGTTCGGGTCTGATCAGGCTCAAACTACGGCAAGACCGAATGTGGTTTTTACCCAGACATCTGATCGGCGTCCGGGCTCTCACCGGATCGGAACTCAACGCTGCATGTAAATGAATGGATCATGAGTTATTTCTGTGGAAAACTCGCGAGTCTTTCATCGAGGGAAGGGAAGAACTCTTCCAACGGAGGCATCTCGAGGATGCCGCGAAGAGAGTCCATAGGGGCTCGGACTCGTAGCGAAACTTCACGTAGCGAGAGATGCCGTGTCGAAGGTCTACACTGTAGATTACCCGAGCTCACGGGTATTTTTCTCCATTCTAACGTTCATCCTCAGGTCATTAATGACGGTGAGGTTCGACAGGAGGATCCAAGTCCTGAACAGGAGACGGTACTCCTCTTGTAGAGAGACCCTCGAGATAGAAGTCCATTCAATGTCAACGAACCTTTTTGCCAGCAGCGGCTCCGACCTTCTTCTTGGCGATACCACGGACCTTCTTCATTCTGTTCTTCCTCTCCTTACGCTGCTTGCGTCCAGTTCGTCCCTTCGGGCCAAGGTTCTGACGGGCGAGCCTGTATTTAGGTTCGATTTTCTTGGCGTAGTCGAGGGTGTCGTAGATAAGAGCGAACCCTACTGTCTTGCCACCTGTACGAAGGAGATGGGATGAGGTCAGACAACGTTACAGGTTCGTCAGGAGGACTCATCGTGTCGATCGCCAAGTCCCATTCAGAACGGACGTGGAATCCGAGCCACGACCAAGGTCAGCATTCGGAATTCTCCACTGATATAAGCAGGACGTCAATATGTCTCTCACCTCCGAAGTTGGTTCTGAAGCCGAAACAGAAGATCACATCGGGAGTCGTCTTATACACCTTGGCGAGCTGTTCTCGGACCTCTTGCTTCGAAACTGTCGGCCGGTTTGGGTGGACGATCTCAACGATCATCTGACGCCGGTTGAGCAACCGGTTCGTCATGAAGCGACGAGTTCGGATCGTGACTGAAGACTCAGACTGCAAGGACATGAGCGAACTTACAAGAGGTTCTCCAGCGTCTGACTGAATGCAGCCCCGCGGGGAATGATGCCAATAACAAACGCCGCGAGCACCGTCATCACAAACACCGCGTAGAGATCCGTTCTCGGAAGGGGCTCAAGGACTTCGTCCCTCCATCCTCGATATACCCAGTCGAGGAGCTTGCTCGAGAGCTACGGATCGTCGCACTCGGAAATTCTAGGGAACGCCGTCGCAATCGACCGACAGTACACCGCACTGGTGTTGGCAGACTTCGGACATCGTTTTAATTCATTCTCGCACTCAGCGAACGACTACACGGCTGTCACGCATTCCGGAGATCACCAAGAGCGAGCACCAATAGATTTTGTCATGATTTTAATTCCGAATCATTCGATTTCCGTGGATTTCTTTCGACATGGTTTCTTACCATCTTGAACGTCCACGAGCCGAAACGAAAAGGAACAATACGCAGACAGCGCGCGGAGTGATAGACTCCGAAACCACTCTCGAGACCGCGAGCTCCGTACGGATGCGAGGGCCGCGATCCCACCGATAGTAGAGCCAAGAATCCGCTCCCGATATCCCGATGAGTTCCCTCCTGTCCCGGGCTAGGGGGGATCCCCGAAGAACGGGGTACAAGCTCGGAGTCAAGGATCTCGACAACCGCGTATCACGGCTCGGCCGGACCTGTCGTCTGCTCGATCGTCAGCCCCGGAGGAATCTGAAATGCGGCTCGCCCGCCTATGAGCCACGCTTCTCGTCCTGTCTCGTGTCAGATCTGAGCGAGAAGAATCGGGGATAGTGTCGATGATGAGTTTGAGGGGAGTCCGAACAAAAATAGGGAGTGTATCAGCTGCTTAATGCATAGCATAATGTTTGCGTTCCAATAGAAAGCAAGGGAATGATGGTGATGATCATCTCCTGAGATCACAGCCCGATGGGGCTGCCCGTTCCATGATTCTGGGACCCCGTGGACATGTCAGAAGCGTTCTGGACTGCGCAGGCGATAATAACCCTTGAGGTCACGCCTGACGTCTCGAGGACCGCCGAGATTCTTGAGGGACGAAGACTTCAAGAGTTCAAAGACGATGCGACGAAGGATCCGAAAATTTTGCAGTGGAAAATGTAATTGGGATAATTACTGCGGCATATAATTGCCTGAGCTCGCCCCCGGCACATCGAGTACCTTTAATGGGTGTTGGGCGTGACGAGGATTCTCCGTCGAGGGGACTTGCGCTGAATAAGCAATTCTGCGATTCTGCTAAGCTCTGATGGATACCCTGCTCCTTCATACGAGTCAAAATTATGTGTGAACGAGAGCCTTACATCGTCGGAGTCCTGTCCGGGGAAGAGAGCATCGCGTAAGGACAAATTTCTGCCCCAACGTACGATTTTTCTCCTATACTCCGGTCGGGGTCCCGTTGACCTAATGGTCGAACAAGCTCGCCACAACGACCTTGCATTTCGAGGAGCCGTTCTTGGTGGCGCCAGCGTGTTCCTTGCAACGAGGCCCTACTGTATGGACGTCTCTGTGATGCGATTTTCAGGATGCGAGTATGCGGGCCATATCCGCCAATAGTTCAGGAGATCTCTTGCTTGGACCCCTTAATCAGCTCGTGGGGCGCTAGTTGAGTATTCCTCGAGCGGGGAACGATTTAGGCTCGGGCAAGCGCGATCGAAGCTTCCCCAGAGGTCAGCTTCAAATCGCAGCAGCATCTAACTTAGACTTGACGAATACTTAAAGCGTATGAGCATGCGTCAAGTCTGGAATTCGTCAAGAATCTAATGAAACATACAAAGAGCAAACATCTCACGATCGATTCTATACACTTCTGCGGACCACTCGAACGATGATGACCTTTTAGCGTCGCTGTTGCTTGTAATCAAGCTTTTATTAATGTATATATTTATATATATATATATTCATTCATATAATAAGCATTTAGAAAATGTCACACAGTTCCAATGTCGACACGTGGGCGCAGCTTGCAGGCTTTCTAATAATCGAAAAATTTTCCAATGAGGGAGATCCATAACGAAGAAGATAATGAGTATTCACAATAGATTTCGAAGATCCATCGGGTGTCCTAGGCAGGTTCCGCTGCAGACCACGCAAGCAATGTCGTGTCGCTCCTCAAGAGTTCGCGACTCGAAAGTTCCATTAGCTGGATAAGTGTCTTGCAGCTCCGGGATATTTTATGCGTCATTTTGTGTGTTTTATCGGAGCAAGGGACAATGTCATCCACACGTCTCTCGAGACTCGTATTTACAGTGGCCAGGACATGGAGGGACAGTAAAAGTTACAGGGAAGCGATACTCGGAGCAAACCCATTCATACATCCGATGCGCCCCATCATCCGCGCAGGCATTTTCGGGGGCGAATGACCCGAATACTAGGCCTCCGGCTTCTTCGACAAAAAAAGCGGGACGCTTCGATAGTCCCTTTAGAGAGCGCTCTCCAGCGCGAGAGGAGAGAGGAAGACAACTTGCACGCAACAATCCACGTTTCGCGTCGCTGTCTTTGTTTAGCCACGCACACTTCCAAAGTAAAAAACGCCACCTTGAAAATCCTAAAAATGTTTTCTAACATATATGATGGCTGTCCGCCGCAATTTTCACTGCTCGAAGTTGCATTCGATTCAACCGAGTCGAAACACGGCCTGGGGCCATCTCTGAGACAAAAAGCACATACAAGCTTAAGCTCTGGGAAATCAATGTCCTATTGGTGCGAGCCGCCTCGACCTAATGATGCGCAGAAGCCGCTTTGAGAATTTCGTCCATCCAAGATCGTAGAAGATGTCGGAAGCAGGAGTCGGAGTCGGTTGTGAACCATGAGACTCTTGTTTCGATCATTTCTCATCCGGGTTATCAGACAACGGGGTGCTGGTTTCTTGAGTAAGGGAACTCAAAGTCATAGATATGGGAGCGATAACATCATCAGCCGTCATATCGTTTACCTCCTACACCAGAAGCCGCCGGAATCAGGAGCAAGCAAGTCGCTCTAGGAAATTAGTAACTTCTCAGAATTTGTTCCTAAGTCTACTTCGCTTCACCGCAGGTTGGATTCGCGCTCTAAGTCGAAGGTTCACTTTCCAGAATATTCATCTAGAAAGTGTGAATGACTCCATATTTTCTCAACACTGATGTTGACGTAGCGGGATTCCGAATCCATTTTCTCACTTTCATTCCGACCGCAGGAAAATAGGAGCGGGGGAGTTGGAAGCGCTGACAGCATCCGACCACCACGACATGGTCCGCAATCGGCAGCAGTCAGCGGTCCGCAATCCCGCACATACCGGTGGGGAGGTTCGGAGATCTCTGCACGGCCAGAGCAAGATCATTTCCGAACAGTGTCTCAGGAAATACACTCATGGGATCAAAAATATATAGGAGGAGGGAGAGACACTCAAACATGTGGCACTTGACCAAAAAATCGCACACCGCTCCTAAAAGTAAAACAACTCGACATCAGTGCTGAGCTCAGTGTTTTCATTATCCAAATCCAACAATTTCTTTTCGAGGATCCCATTCACTCGGTCAAGTCGTCTTTATATTTGTAGGTATATATATTTATATGTACTTATTTCATGTATATACTTGACGATTTCACTGGACCAAAATAGCGCTTCCTTCGGGAAATCTCTCATCTTCTCCACTTCCCCTCATCTCTATGCGGAGTCGACGTCAGCTGTCCAAATATCTTCACTCAAGCCGTCCTCACGATTCCCGATCATCGCACGCAATCCCACGACCAAGCGCGGACAGGAACGGAGTGAGGGAGACGGCAGAGGAAAAAACTCGGGGAGCCCGAAGCTTCCCGAATGAGTCGACGTCTCCCGAGGGTTTGCTCAGACTCTATTCGAATCCGCACAGAGATTTCCTTGTCATACGCTTGGATATCTTCGTATCTAAAATCATTATGTACAGGGAAAATTTACATTTTGTTCTCAGAGATCCGAGATCAAATCTGGTTGAGATTTGTCGTCAAAGATGAGAATGACAATAGCGACTCGACCGGTCATTTCCACTATAGAACTGATTGACTCTAATCGAAATGCTCGGAGACGAATTCAGGCAGGAGGGAAAAACAAAATATCCGCAAAACTAGCCTCGTGTTGGCGGCAGAAAGCTTCGAAGCAATAGGTTCCGCCGGCTTGCTGTGAGCAGCGTCGATGTTAAAGACGGAGGTCACGACAAGCTCCGTCGCCGTACGACGTTCACCGCTGTGGGGCTTGGGGCCACGAGTTGCGAGAGGGTTCAGTTCAACTCCGAGCTTCCCTTCCAATGAGGGAGGTCGGCACTCGCATATGAGATCGGTGATGAGAGAAACGATGAGACTGACGGATCGACAGGCGAACAGACAATGAGACTTTCCGCTGGTGGCGCGACGAAGCGAAACTGATCAGATGAGAAGAGCGGAGCCTCCGTCTTGAGTCCGCCAATTATACTAAATAACATCGACCTAATAATATACCCTCATAGAGAGAAGCTTTGGAGTCATCGACTCCAGAGGCATTCCTCAGAGACTCTGTTGATTCATCGGTTGTTGAGCCGCAGCGATCTTGTTCCAGAGGTCTTTCTTGCAGCTTTTCGAGCGTCGAAGGTTCTGCAGATGGTCACTGAACTGCATTAAGCCACCGGGGCTCAGCTGGAACGCTTGACGTGCGGAGCGTAGAATCGCGACGAAGTCGTCGTATTCCGCGGCTTGGATGTGGTAGATCTTTGCGTGAATACACGCTACGAACCTGAAGGAAACACAGACCATGAGAAGGGGCGTGTCAGCTCGATCACGAAGAGAGCCGCCGGGGTGACGAAATATTCCGAGTACCATTGATAGGCTAAACAGCTGAATTTAATAGGTAATATATATTGGCTACGGGCTGTTATCTTCGTTTTGATTTTTGAGAAAAAAAAATCGAATCGGAACGATGCCGAGTATCGGAGCAACGAAGCTTACATCTGTTGACACTTCTGGATGAGCGGGGCCAGGAGAGCCGATCTAAATATCTGATGCGAGCCCGATCCTGGCTGTGCCTTGGCCAGGTGTTGCGCGATTTCCGTGATAATGTCGAAGAGAATGAAGGGCGATGCGACTGAGTTCACAACACAAACACAGAGATCTTGGAGCCAATTGGAGCCGAGTTTCTTGGCGACGCCGAGGAGCCATTTGACGTCTTCGCCGTAGGGTGGAGTTCGAGCGTATTTGACCTGCATGCGCTCGTCGTGGATCCTGGAATAATCGATTGTTCAACGATTGGGCTCAGACTTGACGGAACAGATTCCAGGAGCTGAGCGAAGAAAATCGAATTCCAGACCGAGAGCGATCCGGAGGGCACTCGGACTGGAGCACTTACTTTTTGGCCAGGAGGTCCATGGCGATGAGTCCGACACGGTACGCAGCCAGGATGTACTTCATGGATTCCTGCGATTGCGCGCTCTGGTTCGTCGCCGCTGGGGTCGTGGGAGCCGCGGGCGGAGGCGAATTGATCATCCGGGTGACCACGGGCGGGGGGTAGTGGGGCGGGAGCGCGTGTCTCGGCGCGAACTGACTCTGATAGAAATTGGGACCATACGGCGAGTACGGCTGAAGATACGCGGGATGGATCGGTCCTTGCAGAAGATACGGCGCCGGAACCTGATACGGCGCGTAGGGCCCGGCCGGGGGATACATGTTGCCGAACGGCGCCAAATGAGGGGGAGGAATCGGCAGCGGGGCCTCGTGGCCGTGCGGGATGTGGAAATGCGGGGGTGGCGGCTGGGGCTCGACCTTATGGGGCGGAGGCGGTCGCGATGACATCGGAGGAATCGCGCTGGCCTGCTCTTCCTCGTAGAGATCGTACCATCGACGGGCGACGTCGAAGAGAACTTCGGGAATGATTCCGCCTCCTTGAGCTGCCTGTTCGACGGTCAGACAAGCGCGTCGGAGCATGTCCGCTGATTGTTCCTTGCATTGCAACAGCGCTCTCTGTATCTCGTTCTGATTGAGGGCGTGGGCGTGCGGCAGGCACGAGAGAGCGAGCTCCGCACACGCTCTCTGCATGGAGTGGTCTCGACCTCTCGACGCTTTGTCGGCCAACGTGACAACTTCAGTCGGAGTTAGATGCCCTTCCCAAGTGTCTATCAGGAACATGACGGCTGCGCAGCCGATCTCCATCGCCTGACCGGTGATCCAGGACACTTGAGAGGAATAGGTGCGTGACAACCAGTTCGGGGAAACGGCGTTCGTCAGACCCAGCGCGTACAGCCCGATCTGGAACGAGCACATGTGCAGCTCCCGATGGGGTCCCCTGTGGTTCTGGCTCGACGAGGGCTGGGTGAAGTTGACGGCCATCGAACTGTTTCCACCGGCTTTGGTGAAAACAGTTTTCGCCAGCTCGAACATGAAATGAGCGGACGCCTCGGACGGCTGGTTCGGAACGTTGGGGTGATAACTGCGCTTCGGACCGCCTTTAAAGCCGCCGCCGTTGCCTCGATTGACGTTTTGGTTCGAGTTCAGGAAATTGAGGTTTTTCATCTGATTGACGAGCTGGTTCCGTCCGGCGGGGGACTGAACGATCTGCTGCATCTGGTTCGGAGAATAGTCGTCGACATTGAACATCGATTGATTATGCTGCAGTACGGGCGCCGAGAATTCCTCCATCATCTTCGGGACGGATTTCGGTGCTCCTTGGACCAACGGCGTCAGGGGGAGTTCGCGAGGTGGAGCTGCTTTCTTGCCGTTATTGTTCGGGGTAACGCTGACGCCCGAAGGTCCAGGATGATTATGAGATTTGCTTCTTCCGCCCGACGAAGACGACGCGAAACTATCGCTGCTGTCTCCGCTCGAACCAGAATCACTCTCGACACGCGGGCCGGCCCTGCGTCTCGTCAGGGTGGGACTGTTGTCCGAAGACGTGGGTTCCTGGGCAGCTGGGTCGATGGCGGCCATGCCTGCAATGCGGTTAAAACGAAATTTGTTAACAACGTCCGACACCAAGATCCCAGGACAAAGTCCCAGGATAGGGGAGGGGGGTAGAGGATTTTTTTCCGATGGGAAGCCGCTCTAAAGCCTTCCCTAGGGAACACTCACCGTTGCTCGAAGAGGACGCTCTGAAGCCCGAGTTCGAGCTCGTGCAACGACCCCTCGCTTCCCACGCCTTGTAATCTTCTTCCCAGCCCGTCGGGGGACTGGTCGCTCCTTCGTCCTCGACCTGCCTCGAGGTGCTGGGCTGGTTTTCGACTCTGGTGTCGGCCGTGGACGGCGTCGAGGCCCCGCAGTTCGCCAGGCCATACAGAGAAGCGTTCGACGTCGCCGATTGGTTCTTGTACATCCTGTGGACTTCCTTATCGAGGAGCTTCTCCATGATCAGGGCGAGCTTCGGTCGATCGTCCTTGTAGTGCATGAGCAGCGTAATGGCCAATTCGCCTCGTTGTCTACGCGTTCCTTCGCAAAGAAGAGGATGATCCGCTTCGCACACGTTCGCCTTCAGACCGAGCGCAGCGACAGCGGCCTCGAAACCCAGTTCCTCGTCGATGGCCAGACGGTGTTTGCAGATGACGCCGCTGTAGGCCGAAGTCTTCGACGAAGTCGCCGGCTGTTCCTTCGACAGGACGAGTGCGTCAAAAATGTACGAGGCGAGCATCAGAGGGAGGAGAGCTTCGCCCCGCGATACCAAACGACGTTCTTTCAGTGCTAGCGCTCGCTCTCGGAGATCTTGCATTTCTGATTGTCGCAAGGGAATCTTCTTCAACAGGGTGACGAGATCCTGCTCCTGGTTGACCAGTCGCACTTCCAGAGGTTTTGTCGACGCTGGCGGTCGGACGAGCTCCAGGCCGAATAAACCGATGCGGAAGGCCAGGTAGTGATGATCGGAATGGTTTTCTCCAAGTACCTGGCAGAGGAACGCCGCCTTGGAGAGGGTCGCAGACGCCAACAGCGACGCCTGATGGGACGCGGGATTGAATCGGGATCTGGGGTTCCGCTTCGAATTGCCGGACTTGGAGGGAGCCGGATTCGCTTGATTGGCCGGTAGGGAATCGGTCTCGAACGACGGGGGATTCGTCAGTAGTTCCTGCGCCAATCGGAAGGCGAGCTTACACGCCTCCTGAGTGTGACCGTGCGCGTGGAGGGCTTCCGCTCGCGAGAACAAAATCTCGAGCTTATCCTCGGTTTTCTTTATCTGCTTGGCGAGGTCTCGGGGCTCCGGGACAGGGCTCTGTTTCGGGGCGGGTGGCCCGAAGTTCTGCTGGGCGACAGCTCGGGCCTGGGCCGCGTCGTAATAGTAAACGTGGTATTCGTCGTCCACCTGGTTCTGGTTGGGCACGACTGCCGGTGCGGCACCTTCTGCCAGCGGCGCGGCAACAGCGGCGGCTGGGACCGGGGGCGCTCGATCGGGTTTGCTCGAGGGTCCGGGTCGCGGTTCAGCGCCGAAGTCGTCGCGGTCGACCACCGCGCTGCTACTGCTGCAGTTGTTGTTGTTGCTGCCGTTGTTGTTGTTGTTGTTGATGCTGCTGTTGCTGAAAAGGTTCTCATTGAACCCTTCCGAGCTCAATGAGCTTCGCGTAGAACTGGGGCAGGTGTCGTAGGCAGCCATGACCGGAGGGATGCTGAACGGAGATTTCCGTCCAACTTCGACCGGACGACCTTTACAGCCTTGGCCGAGATGATCGCCTTGTCTAAGATGTGGGTACACAGAGTAGAACCGGCAGGCTCCGCCGTCGTTGTACGTGATACCCAGGATTGGATAGTCGACCCAGTCCAGAAGACACGACTCCAACGCTGGTTTGAAACCCGGGAACACGTCGATGTCCCCCCAACGCCGGTTCGAGTTGTTATGCGAAGCGTTGTTACCTCCTTGGTTCGTCGTCCGGGTTTTGAACACCGACTCGAGGACCTTGCAGTGCCATTGACACATCTGTGAACGAGGAGAGGAATGCATCAGTATCGAGGCGCCACAGAGGTACTGCATCGAAACCGACACGGGGAAGCGATGATTTCACGGTCACGGTATGATCTCCTCACAACGAACAAGCTGGCGCCAGCGTAAACGCTTCGTTGGAATGAATTTTCGTTGTAGCGAACTCGCTCGAAGGAACTAGGTCCGCGAGAAAGCGACCGAAATATCAGAAGAAAATCATAAGTCATCGCGAAAATTCGTCCCAACGCGGTTTCTTGCGAGGAGGGGGGGGGGTGATTACACCTACTGCATTTCGAAATTATAGTATCTATATCGATTAGGAACGTTCGATATCCGACAGCGGAAGAAAATTCGCCGTATCCGGGGAACTTCCGTCCCGACTCATTCCTTCGGCCACGTACCTGGTCGAAAAAGTTTCTCTTCTCGCATTGCGGGAGCGCCGGATTCAGGGCAGCCAGTCTCCACAACATGACGATCTCGTCACAAAGTGAGGCACAGGTGTGCTGAGAACACTGTGACGTACTGTGTGACACCCCGTTGTTGTTCGACGCCCTGTGCCCTTGGTTTCCGGTGGATCCCGTGTGCAGGGATACCTTCGTGTTGAACCACCACACGAGAATGGGCTCACAAGCGAGCACCTCCTCGGTGATGAGTTGGAGGAGCGGAACGGCGTTGCGATCCGATCTCCGGAACATCTCTCTCACCATCGACAAGAGATTCCAAATGCCTTCGGGTTCCCGTCCGCGCAGGGGGCGAAGCAAACTCTGCCATTCCGACGCTGCCGGGGGAGATGTCGTCGAGAGGAAATTCACGTCCGAGTAAACGATTGGCGAGGGCATTGAGAGCTTGACGAGGATCTTCCGGATGCTCTCATGGAGGATTCCCTCGTCCAGACACCACGAGGTCTGGTCGGAAACCGACGCGCCGGCCGTGGGATCGGGCGCGCCACGCAGAGTGTTTATGTCGGACGCCTGGTTCGATAAGAGCTCATCGAGCAATCGCTGAGCTGTCGGGAGAATTTGCTGGGGCAATTCCGCGATTAGATATTGAGCAAACTTCTGAAGCTGATCCCTGTGCAGTCGGGAGAGAGATTCCGAAACAGGAGCCCGGAGGCAGACCGTGTGCGGCTGATGAATTCGGTGTAGGCACACGGCCACAACGTGCGCACACCACGACGCTGTGCTGGTACAGGTGCAGTTGCAGGTGGTTATTCGCCTTCGATCGAAAGTGACGGCGACGTTGTACTGCGGATTCTTCAATGCGGGCGTTACCACCAGCGGCTGTTGGGTTTTCGACGAGCCTTGGCCGTTACCGGTGTTTCCCGCAGGTTTTACGGTTGCGCTAAGATGGAATCCGATCTGGAGGAGATCCTTGGTGGCCTTCGTCTTGAAGAGTTGCTCTCCCTTACCGAATTCCTCAGCGGAACCGGTCGCCAGACACGAATACAACCTGATATCCTCCTCATTCTCCGGAAAACTCCAGAACGCAATGCGGAGCTGAAGTTCTTCCGGTACGGGTGGATAGACGGTTTCTACGACCTCAAACGGGATGTGGGTGGCGACTTCCCGGGCGGCCAACTCCACCAGGGAGCTCACTTCGCCCGGTGGCGTGGAGGACGAAGGGTCCGAACCTGGAAGAGAGACTCGGTGGTAAGCGTCGAATTGCATGAATTCCGACGGAGGAAGCGACGCGCGCAGCTGTTCTCTCGACGAAAGCAAAATAGTGAACAAGGGGGAAAAGCGGAGGTGTGTTTGAAGACACTGGTGAGGAATATTCACGGACTTTGTGTCGGAGTTCGACGTCTCTTTCCGGTACAGCTCGAAGAGGAAATGCGTGATCGACCATTCGCTCCCACGAGGCTCTATTCAACTTACCCTTGACGTATTTGAAGTTGTTTGCCGAGGGGATCTTCTTCCAGCCGCGCCAATGGTTGCATACCGACTCCCTCTCTGATATCCAAGAACAAAGGGAGTCTTCATCGAAACGATCGCTGTCCTCAAAGGAGAGGCTATCGCCTTCCTCCCATTCCATTCTAACCTCCCCTCCAGCCAGCGTGACGCGGGAGCAGGAGACTGTTTTCCGAACGAGACAGACCTTCGACAACGCCTACAGATCTGTGAAGGAAATCAGATAATCGGCATGCGCATGATAGATCGTCTCCGCCGAGACAATGATGATGCTAACTACCTGCCTAATCATCGGAGCTTAGATTGGAGGGATTGGAATGATTCGCAAGCGGGGCATTGACAAGGACGTTCGATCCTTCCGCGAAAGGGGTCGAGGGGTCTCGTCGTCGAAAGACGAGCGACGGGAACTTATTCTCGAGTTCAGGGTCGCGGAAGACTTTCGAGCACCGACGCCAATGATCTCCCACAGAATTTCACGCGGAGCCTCCGTCCCACGCGCACATAAAAATGCGACAATGAAAGTACTGCTCGGTGAATGTTTTTTGAGGGAGAAAATGGAAGAGGCCCCTCGAAAAATAGATCAGTACCCTCGGGCACACAAGCGGAAAATAAATAATAAAACGACAAGAGCTCCCGGGGTAAGGGACCTGCCTATGAATCACAAGCGAAACAAGCAACTGGAAGCGATGTCGCGTAAGTTTTCCGGCCCGCTCGCAAACACCAGGATGGAATACCGAGCGCCGTCCACGGACAATCGAATGAAAAACGGATAATCGTTCCGAGTCGCTCAGCTGGTGGAATTGAAGCGAACTTCTCAAAAGCTTTGCCACCGAAGCCTCTTTTCGTTGGTCGAATACGGTCGATTCAAGCAGCCATTTTTGACCCTTCACACAACAACAGCAGCAGCAGCCACGGTTTCACGTTGCGATACGTCCATGCCACAGCTGGGTAGGGGGCGAGCCAGCATATCGGACCATAATCGAAGAAGCGATTCAAGCAGATCTTCCCTCCGCCAGTTCGCCTGATTCGCACAAGGGACCATCGGAAGTTCACCGCCCACCCGGAGAGGGATCTTCAGGTGATCTTCTCGAGTGAAATGAACGTACACGCGCATAAATAATCCCAGAAATCGATATCTTCAGCCGAGAATTTCTTAAATATATTCTCTGTGCAATGACCCATCGCGGAACCAGAGAACGATCGCTCGCCCCTTCACTTTCGCCGACTCACAGCACAATGATAATAATTCATCATTTTTAGCTCCTACCATGCATTGATTCATCGACCCCCTGGGAAACAAATCCTGAACGCAAAGTCCATTCACGGAAGTACGGTCAACGGAAGCGAATTTGGTTCCTCAATCGAGGCGTGAGCATTGGAGTCGGCGGCTCGGCCCGATGTCCACACCATTGCTGTATGGGTACCGCAATGGTGTACATACAGGGGAAAAAATTCCGTCTCGGGACCGAAGCTCCCGATCGCCCGCAATTATTTGGCCCCCTATCGGTGTCATCGATAATTTCTGGCACACTGCACTAATAAGGCGAGAGTTTCCACGAGACAGGACACGCCTGTGTTGTCTCGAACGAGAAATTCTGTCCCCGCCTGAGGGGGTAGCCAAGAAGCCAGGCGTTTGTTATGTAGTACTGCTGCTGCTGCTGATGCTACAGTGCTTCTTCGGGGCCTCTCAACGGACCTGGGCCCATCGCATTCTGAACAGCTAAGCCGAACGCCTCTTTAAAACAATGATATCGTCAAGGAATCACTCGAGTATTCGAGTTCGAAACCGATCCAAGCCACGGGAGAGAAAAAACCGCTCTCGGGATTAAGTGGTGTTATGCAAAAATAAAATGCAACCAATGGAACGAGAGACCGAGCTTTCTGCTTGGATACCCGGACGACTCCCCTCGCGATCCACAGAGTCGATTCCGATGGAATCACAATCTGAATTCAATGGAAACGAACTCCTTCGGAACCGAACGCCGCCCAGGCTTTTCCTTCGGTGACGATAAGCGTTGCAAGTCCACAGAATCAGCTGAGTGGGCCTCGCAGCCGCTTGCGAGACGCTTCTTGTACACGGTCTGTGGAGTTCCGGAACTCCTCCGAGACCGAGGTCGACGATCTGAACGGAAACCAGACCTGCACCAGCCGCAGATAGTGTCACATTGCCAACTTACCTCACTGTAGAGAGCACATAATGAAAGGCCTAGGAGGGTCGAAGCACGGTGCCAATCAACCCAGCTCCTCACTTGAGACAATCGCCAACTGGGGATAAGCTTTCAGCGATCGACCCGACGGAGGGGCAGGCTGAATCGAAGTTTCCAATAACTTCGGGCCCACTTTCTCGCCAAGCAAACGCATTCACGGTACTTAAGGAAGCTCTCCCCAGCCACTCTGCTGCTGGCGATTCTCTCCTGGTGGTGGTGCTGCTGCCGCTGCTGCTGAATTAGAGACCCTGAAACATCCCTCAAGTAAATATTTTTGCCCCGTATCTCGCCAGCCAGTCGCGGCGAGATGCTCGAATCGGAGCCGAATCGCTTCGGGAGAACTTCTGTGAGCGAGACAACGGCGGAAAATCGTCGCATCCGACGGAAGAGCTGAAAATAAATTAAAGGGAAATGTGGCGCCAAAATTCGAATTTCACCGTTTGGCCGATGATGTTCCAGCAGGGGACAATGCCCTATTGGCCTGAACACCGGACACTCTCGCTCAATTGTACTGAAGGTTTGTACTTTGATACTTGAGGAGGGAAGGCGAGAAACGAGACAGAATTGACCCGAGTTCGTCGGTATCTTTCGTGCCTGGGCTCGGAGGCTTCCCTCGGGGGTCGGCTGACCATGAATTCTGCGATGGGCTGTGCGCGCCTACGTTTTCTCCCGACGTCTACCGATGAAATCGCTCTGCTGCCGGTAATTGGATAATATAGGCGACCGGAGTTGGAAAGCGATCAATCTCGCGATAAAAGACGAGATCAATACCGAAGCATCCAGTCGGGAGGCCATACGATGACTGGCTCGTCGCTCAGGGAGGTTTCATTTAGGATATGAAACGAGCCCGCCAGACAAGTTAGGGATCATCCGTAGAGAGTTCGTGCTTCGACGGATCAAAGGTCCTTGAACTATGAAGTTTTGAAGCTCAGTTCTGCTGAAAACTCGAAGTTCTGCTCTGGGTGGTCAGCTAGAATTGAGCTTTCGAGGCTTCGTCGAACGCGAAAAATTGAAGATCCATGGCGGCAACTCCTCGACTGGCACGGGAGGGACTTCTTGAAAAAAAAGGGTTGCTTATGCTGTGCCATAAGCGGGTATATGTGTCCGTCCTTGCCCAGGGGAGTGCCAACTAGCTCTCCTTCCCTGCGACACAGAAGGGGGCGAATTTAGCATCGATCTTATACGCGCGCTTCCGGCGATCGCCGGAATTCGGCTTCGATAGCGCGCTCTCATGCGAAGTCTCTCAGCTCTGAGCCGGGTCTCGGCCTCGACAAGTTCCGGTCCTGAGGAGAAACCTGCAGAGACCTATTCTATAATTTGAGATGCTCGTCCGAGCCCGTGCAAATCCCAGAAGTCCGGCGATCTATTCGTTTGCGAGCGTTCTTCGAGTGCTTCTCCCATTCGGCACTAGCGGCGCCACCTATGCCAGTAGCTCCTTCAGGCGTTGCTTTCGGGGAAGAGTCGAGATCCCGCACAGTTTCAGAGTCCCATTCGGCGGGAAACTGAGCACCCGACATTAGAGCCCCTCCGGGTGGCGTGACATCAAGGCAGACATACAACTATACCAGGCAATCTGGGATACGCGCGCCGAATCAATTCTGACATGATGGTCCTCTCCGCAAAATCATTCTCATGTGTTTGATAGGAGGGCCCTGACAGTGAGATTCCGCAACGAACTTGTGATCTCTTTCCAGTTCTGCTTCGGGAAGCTGCCTCGGGACACGAAAAATGGAATGCGGGTTCATGTACCCGGTACCCGATGAGAAGGACATGATGAGTCTCCTCCGCGGAGACCTGGAGCTCGTGAAAAACTTCGCGATGAGCGCGATACTCCATTGTGTCAACGCAAGGAGGTATCGACGATCCTCCTCATTGTTGCCTTCCGAATTCGGCGGTATCCTCAGGGAGTTCTTCTGATCATGAGCGCAGGAATGTCTCCTGGGATACCGAACGCTCCGTTGGTATCCGGAGCATGCATTCCTTGGTGGGCGCCGACTATGGCGGCGACAATCGCCAAGACGGAAGTCCGCCTGGGGAGCTTGCCGTTGGCAGAATAGAATTTTTCGAACCCAGCCTGGATCAGCCCAAAATCATAGTTTCGCATTTTTGAACCCTCGTCCGACCCATTCATTTGTCTCTTGCAGGTTCTGTTACTACATCGGAAACTCAGCCCAAGCTTTTGAAAATCTCATACCCTTCGACGATTGTTCTCTCAGACCGGAGTTGAATGACTTTTTGGTGTCCAAGAACTCAGAATCATCGGAAGACCTCGTGGGTATAATTCGAGAAATCCCGGAGAAGCTGAGCCCTGCGCTGATCATTGTTGAGGTCCCAGAGAATCGCACTCCGTATGGACTCGTAAATCTTTTCGGGTATGCCCAAGATCTTCAACTTAAGCTCAAATGCGCTGTTCTGATTCTTGTTGAGGATACGGAGAGTTGTGCTGTGATCAGTGAGCGATTACTGAAATTTTACAAGCTCAAGGTATTCGATGTGTTCCGGTGGGGCCTGCGGAGCGGAAGTGAAGAAACCATCAGATCTTTTGTTGAGTGTGATGGACGTCTCCTTGAAAGGCGAATTCACAAATAAAGCGGCATGTTCTTTGTGTCATGCTTTCCGAATGAGCGCCAAATGGTGTCTGCTCGCTATCGAATAATGAAAACAGATCGATGAACTCGTGGAATCTACTCGTTCGCGGCGAAGGAGAGCGGTAGGCAGCATGATATTGATTCGTTTTCTATACTTTTCCCGATGTCGAGGAGAATAGATGCAGAGGTGTCAGGCTGTTGATGGCTGTCGGATGGCGCTACAGGGTTATCTGATCCTATTCATGGATCCAAGATGCTCTCATCGAGTTGGTACTCGGAACATTTGTTTCTTCAGATATGAGTCGCTTCCATCGGAGACGCAGATAAAGCTGTCCGCTAGTCTTAATGAGCGAGAGTCCCCTCCCGGGTTCTGCCCGAGGGATGTTCCTCAATATCTCTGATAATTCCCGGAATGGAAAAAATTTGGCCGGCCAGGAACTCCCACAAAGCGGACTCCACTTGTATTGGATGGAACATTTCGGCGGGCATTCAAGATACCAAGAAAGCTCTAATGAGCAAAACTTATTTCCTTCTGCTTTCAAATTCAGTAATGATTCCATCTCAATGCCCTCGCATGACACGCTTTTAACAGAGTGAATGAGAATCACGCGGAACCCAGGCGGATTAGGTGCGTACTATGGGCTGGCTGGGAGCACTTGAATATGTGCGAATGGGAGAAAGTCAGTTCGTGAAAAATCCGGCGGTACTTGTCCTCGGAGCCGGAAAGCCGATATCCGAACGCGGTGCTTTCGGAATGGGGTCAGGAAAGAGAAATCGTCTCTCTGTAGAGAACACTTCTCCGTAAACCCGGCGGCGGCGAGCGATGCGAAAACTCATCCTCGAGGCGGCCACAGCTTCGATTTATTAGGCCCTTCCTCCTCAGCACGATGTACCTGGTAGATTCTGATGAACAAATGTTGGGTTCCAATCCCGGTATAAATCACGGAGTCGCATTCATCCGCGTGAGCCTGGGAGACATTGCGTGAGATGGAGGGAGCTCAGCGAAAGAACAAGATCGTAAATATATTGCGTATGGGCTCTATAGACGAAATATTGCTAAGAGAAGAAGTATCGTTAGCGCCCCTCGCTTGTACGATCACTTATCACTGATCCCCCATCGTATTCGGAATCGCTCACAGTGACGAACTATCCTGGGTCTGATTTAAACCTCTGAATTTCATAAAGTTCAAAGATCCCCCTGTGCAATAAAATCGCGATGTGTGTCTGTAAGCGGACCAAATTCCCCCCCGAACAGACCTCTACCTTTTTCCAATCGATGGCCCCCACCTCAGTGAGGGTTTTATCACGGTGCTTCATTCCGTAATACCTTAAAACGAGCCCCTCGACTTTTCTCCACACTGGAGCCGGTCGGCAAGGGCGGGACTAGAGAAAGGTTCCTCAATCATAGGCTCAATGCCACGGAGTCCAGCCTCGCTATTCTTTCGCCCTTCGCACAGAGCTCATCCAGAGTCGATGGAGTCCGGGACAGCTGAGCCTGTTCGGGTGACGATTGCATTGACAGATCTCAAAATGGGGAGGGCTTTGAATTCCGCGACTTTGACGCGGGACTCTGGAGCAGTCTTTTCTACTGGAGTTCCAGAGCAGATGACGGGCGTCTTGGGAACCGGGTCTAGAGGTCGGATTTCGTTTTACAATTTGAGTGAGCATCTCACTCCGATAGGCTTCGTGTTCACCTCCCACAGGATTAGCGAAAGATGACTGTAGCTTAAATTTCATCTGAAGATGTCGCGAAGATCGCCCCGCATTCCTGGGAGCTTCGGAAGGTTCTTCAGGGCCCACGACAACGGGTCCCTACGTCAGCACGAACTGCTTTGAATCCCATGAAGGTTTTCTCCAACTCTTGAGATGATTTTCGAAGAGACCCAATCAGTTCCTTTCAATGCCGAGAAATCGGTCCCGGGGTAAGGTTTCGCCAGCAGCGAGACGCCATGTAATTCTCCTCGGATTATCCCCGCGAGGATACTCGTCTAGGTTTTGGCTGATCCGTCCTTGTTGAATCCTCGAGCAATCTCGGGAATTCATTTGCCTGATATGCTCGGGAAGATTAGTTCAACCGAGCGGCGCATTCGGGTCTCTTTTGTGATTCCCGAATTTGTTGACTCAAATATTCCCGTGCACGAGTTTTAGAGAATCAGCTCGCAGACGCATTTCGCCAAGGGAGACGCCGAGCCAGATCAGAAACGCAAGGCTCCGAAACGACGACGCGTTCCCCTGAAATGTGGATGTCAGTATGAGAATCTTTCGAAAGTCTTCCGAGGCTAGGACATGGCCTCCCAGTCCTTTCACCCCAAGTGAGCGGAACCTCATATTACAGAATCTTACCTCTGACGCTCGGCTGTACCTCCATGCGGAGCTGAGTTTCGTCTGCGGAATGATTGCGCAACTTGAGTTAATCGAGCAATCGAGAAATCATGTTGGATCTTTCCATACAGGACAGGAATTCTCCCAAGAGAGACTCCTCAATGAAGTCTTGCCCCGTTGATACAGTCGTTCCGGAATTCGGCATCTGTGTCAGGTGCAGCAGAAGCGGTCGGTCCTTGATCGATCTCTTCGGTTATTTGCCAATCGGTGTTTCTCTAGGATTACGCAACCGAACCTCTGACCGCAATTTCGAGCGTACGCGTCTACTGAAGTGTCCAGGTCAATTCCAACCGATGAATTGTTCTCTGAGGTTGTCACGCGCCTTTTGGTCAAATGATCGAGCCTGATTTGTACTTCAAGTTGCGAAAACTACTAGAGATCTCTGGAATGAGCGAGAGACAGTCACCTCGAAGTTCCCAAGGTTCTGGAGAAGGCCACAAAAAACTTTCTCATTCTTTATTTTCAGCCTCGCCCACACCGCCCTCGGTGGACAAACCAAGCTCCCCGCTTGATTCGGACCGAAACTCGAGTATAAATCTTTCATAGGATCGAGCACCGCGGACTGACTCTTCCCGGAACTCAGTTCCCCGGCCGATTCCTGGATTTCATTCGAATATTATTCACAGTGCAGACTTCAGTGTGGCCGACAATAACGCCGACGGTCTTGATTATCCGTTCCGCGATCTTTTTTTTCGGAAATGTTATCGCATCGGGAAGTCACGCTCCAGCGTGCTTCAGGAGGGTCTGAGAGATTCCTAATCGCTTCTAAGTACTCGGAGATAAATATTGAATTTTCCTCCGCGTAGTGTTCGACGCCGCATTTTTTTCAACTGTCATTTCGCTGACCGATAAAAAAAGACGATTGAACTGTCATTTCACCAATGAAGTTGATCTGAGTCACGCCGTCCCGCGTCAATAAAACGGATCATTCATTTTTATGCACATTTTTCCGCATATTCCTCCCTTCTTCGTGCATTAAATGCGAAGCTCTGCTGAACTTCATCATCTCCGAATTCATCCTTCATTCCCAACTGCTCCGACAAACTGTGCACTGCGACCGACGTTAATCAACTCCAATTTGGAAATTCTTCTGCTGGAGTTCCCCGTGCGGTCTCCAGACGCATGTATGGCTGGAGTTCTCGTAGCTATCGTACATCGTAGATCCTCGATCCATTGCGTGTGGATCTGTGTCGTTCCCCGGACTCCGTATAGTTGTTCCGCTTTTGACTAGGATTTTTTTCTTTCTCTTTAGCGCTGCCTTCGGATCAGTCACGCGTTGCGGAAGATTCGGAAGGAGATGAGTCCGTCGCGACTTTGATCCGTCACCCTTCCGCTTCTTTCTTGCACAGTGTTGCCGGTGATCAGAGAACAAGAGCTCATTCTGTATATGGCGCACCTTCATCATCGATGCTTCATTCGGACTCTACATCCGAAGGCGCCGCCCGCAGAGGCTACTCCATGATAAAGAAGTCCGGAAACTTGAGGCATTCGAAATCCAAGGACCTGATCCTCCATTCCATCAGAATGACCTCTCGGACCAGCTCTGGACTTAGGAACGCTGAGAATGAACATGTGATCAATCGACTGAGCAGGCGCTGCTTTCGTGAGTTATGCGGAGAGAAATCTCTCGTGTATGGCGCTCTGATGTTTGGCAGTTTTTGCTATTTTCCGTAGAGGCTTCTGGGAATCGGGTTGATCGATGGGAATCGGTTCTGCGTTTGCCACCGATGCAGTGGGAATGAGTAGCTATGATGAAGCAAACCGCGATGAAGCTCGCTTTCTCGAGCGCGGCTGCGTCTAGCGAAGTGCGGGTGATTATGCTGTCTTCTGTTCTTCCGTCCGTTTTGGTCGGAAAGGGAATCGTTCCTCTTTGAGATTCAAAGTTCTGCTCACGATATGTTAGTCAAAAGGGCTCTTTCCGCGTACGTCAAACTCATGATACGGCCCTGCGGAAAATCTAATACATGAGCAATGACGTATTTTTGTCGAGTTTCCCACTTCTGAGGCCGGTTAGAACTCCGTTCCACCATTTAGATCTTGAATAAATACACTACGTGCATTCTTCCTCGTAGGAAAAGCTCGAATAAGGGAACGTGAGCCGACTACGACTCCTGTTTGGTACGAATCCTACGAAACATTCCCAGATTCTCGCCCTAAACCTTCTCTATCTCTATCGATAGATCGAGGTTCCGGCAAATTTCCGAAATCGCTGCACGCGATCCCTCCAAGATTGTTCGCGGTCTTCGAGGAAGTTCAGTCCGTAGGAGGAAAATGCATTCGACGGGTATCCGAGATAGTGACTTCTGATGAGCGAATGCTCCGCCATACACGGCACGGAAGAATCGCAGAGTGAAAGCAAGAATAGAATGAGTGCTTTAATTGAGAGACGCACGGATGCGGTTCTCACTTAACATGACGTCTTCGATTTCGTTCGCGCGGACCCCTCTGCTGCTCTCATACTGTCGTCCAAAGGATAGTGTCTGTTGCCCGCCCGAAGCAGATTCTCGAACGCGGAGAACCGGGAAAGCGACCGATGAGGAGCCGGGGATTGTGAAGAATGATCGAATCGAGCATCGAGGAGAATGGCGATGATATAAAAATAAGAATATCGCGCCCTAG